CAGAACCATGGCTGGAGGTCCAACACAGGCCCACAGGAGCGTTGTGAGTTCTGGACAGCCTCAGGTTCTGGGCCCGTCATGTATTTTATCCTTGTGTGATGGACCCCAGGGATTATTCCTGGTAACTTACAGGCAGAGTCGGTAGTTGGAATTACTACTGAAGGCCCTTTCTGTTTGTACCCTAACTGGCCTTGGGGCCTGTTCTCCCTCCTCTGGAGTTTTTAGATGATCCCAACTGCAGATTGGAAGGGACGTAAACTTAGATCAGAGTAAAGGTAGTTCCTGGTTTCCAAAGGTCTTAAGGACTTTGGCTACTTCTCTGATGTCAGAGGTGAACTTCGGCTTCTCCAGGCAGCAGGGGTTTGCTAGACAAGTAGGCTCGGATGGGATGGGGCTGCCATACAGTGATTCACATGGACTTAGTTGAGGTTTCCCCTTTGGGGTCTGCCTGGTGTGGCTCAGTGGATTGAGTATTGGCCTGCAACCCAGGCATGTGCCCTGACTAGGAATCGAACCAGCGACCCTTTGGTTCACAGGCCAGCGCTCGATCCACTGAGCCACACCAGCCAGGGCTCAGTGTGGTTTTTAATGTGTTTATTCCCAGAGGATAACATACCGATTTCTTTCCATATATCCCCACGAATAGATGCATTTGGAGTCAGTACACACTAGTATATTAAGGATTTATCTTTTCCCAGTTCTAGGGCAAGGGCTACGGCAATCGGTTCACCTCTTTGGGTGGAACTCCCAATGGTCCTGCTCTAGCTTCCTCCGTCTTGCAGAGGGAGCCCACAGCACGCCCTGCCTTTCCCACTCCCTCCTGTGTGAAGCTGCTCCCATCCGTAAACCAGGTGACTTCTGCGTTATCAAAAGTATCGCATTCGAGGTCTGGCCCACCGACTATATTTCCTCTGATAGCTCCGGGCAGTTATGGGTTATACTGCCTTGTCCTGTGGGAAGGGGTGACACAGCATTCAGAGTATTGCAGACCTAGGCAACCCACACTGGGGTTGTCTAGAAGTGAAAGTGATAACTAGAGCATTCTCCCCGGAGACGGCCATTCTGCCCCCCTTTCTTTGATGAGGGACTGAGTGTGATGGGGGTCAGAGAGTAGGGAGTTGTCAGAAAGGTAATTTTTCTGTCTCTTTAAGGAAGAGAACAATGGCTGCTACTGACCTAAGGCAAGAAAGGCCGCCCCTTAGCTGCGCAGTCTAGTTATTTGGAGAAATACCCCAGGGAGGGGACCAAGCCTCTGGAGACTCCTAGGGCTAGTGCCTTCCTCCAGGTATGCAGTGGTGCAAAGGCTTGCTCAGACTTGGGAGGGCCAAGGCCAGAGCTGGAGCATTCCATACGTAAGGTCTTGTGCTCTCAGAACGATGAATCATCCGGGACTCCATTCAAAAGGGAATGGAGTCCTTTCCCTTCAATTGCTCACATGGGGGTCAGGCTAGAAGGCCAAAATTGGGAATGCACATCCCACCATCCCTAGAAACCCCTAATAGGCTTTTGGAACCTGGAGTTGACATATTAATCCCCATCTTGTTGGTGAGGAAATTTGAGCCTTCTCTCAAGACACCTTGTAGCACCTCTCAGATAAAAGACTGAATCCACTATTTTGATCCGCGGTTTCCTTGGTGGGCCTAGCATCGAGGATGTCATCTGCAGGTCAGAGTAGGGTACGTCGCTCCAGAGATACTTCCTTAAGGTCTTTAGCTAAGGCAGCCCTAAGCAGGGGTGGTGAGTTTTTGACCCCTTGTGGCAGGGCTAGCATAATTGTCATTTTTCATCTGTCCTGGGATCCTGCCACTGAAAGGTGAGAAGGTGGTGAGACCCTGGGGTGAGCAGCATGCAAAAGTAATCGTCTATAGAATCTAGGGCAGAGCACCACATTTGGTCTGTTGGGAGAGCAGACAACAAAGAACAGTATTTGGGCGCCACCGGGTGGACGTCCTCGGTGGCCTCACTGATTGCTCTCTGACCCTGGACCAGTAGGCTCTTGCCATTTGGCTTTTGTACAGAGAGGTTATGGGTGTCACAGGGAGACTAACACGGTTGGAGTCCTTGGCTTAGTAACTCATCTACTGAGTTTAATTCCTCCAAGGCCTTCTGACTTGACTCGCTACTGTGTCTTATTGTAACAAGCCTGTCCAGCTTTAGTTTGACTCCACTCACCTGCCTGTCAGCCCAGAGGCACCGCTCTACCCCTGCTCTGTGTGCTGTGGGGTCTGTAGATTTGGCTTCTGATCAAGGGTGGGCGGGAGCCAGGAGGTGTCCTCTGTCCTTGGGAATATCAACTTCGAGGGCTTTGTCTGTTACACAGATGGCAGCTTCTAATTTATATAAAGGGTCTCGCCCCAGTAAAGGAACGGGGCACTCAGGCGTATATGTCAGTGGGTTAACCTTCTGGGCCTCCTGCCTTGGTTTCTGGATGCCAGCTGTTCAGCACCTGGCAGGCCAGTTCCTTCAGGCTTGAAGAGGGAGTGCTTAGCTCTGCCTCTTAGTTTTTGTCCTTTTCTCCGGATATCCAGGACCCTTTGGGATATAAAGTGGGACGGTGGGGGGGTGCTGCCCCTTCTACGGAGTCAGGGTCTGTGTTAGTATGAACTCACAGGCATTCCTGGAGCCTCTCCATGAAGGTGTAGAGGTTTTCCTTGGGCCCTTGTGTCATTTCCTGGATTTTACTCTGGTTTATGGGCCTTCGCCCCACCACCTGAATCCCCTTTGGGATCACAGCTCTAAAACAGGGGAGGCGCCCTGGCTGGTGTGGCTCAGTGGATTGAGCGTGGGCCTGCAAACCAAAGGGTCGCCAGTTCGATTCCCAGCCAGGGTTGTGGGCCAGGTCCCCAGCAGGGGGTGTGCAAGAGGCAACCACACATTGATGCTTCTCTCCTTCTCTTCCTTGCCTTCCCTCTAATAAATAAATAAATAAAATCTTTAAAAATAAAATAAAATGGGGAAGGCAATGGGATTCTTTCTCATCTCCAACTAGGGTCTGCATCCGGACTGCCTGGACACCACCAGGCTGATATGTTTGTTGTCTGCCGTTATTTCAGTTTACTTTATCGCTTATTCTCTAGCCTTTGTAAGGACTAGGACCTTTGCTTCCCCGGCGAGGAGGACGTTTGAAAGAGTCTGGAAATCTCCCCAGGTGGGACTATGGGCTTGGGAGATGCCTCTTGCTAGATTAAGGAACCCCTCAGGATCTTCTCTCAGCATCCTGGAGTGGCCCTTCCACTTGCAGAGGTTCAAGGAGGAAAAGGGGATGTAAATGGTAATCAAGACATCCCTATTTCCAGTGGGTACCTCCCCAAGGTGGAAAAGCCCTTTCCAGCTGTGGGATGGGAGCTAACACCACCCTGGGGCTGGCTGGCTTGGTGCCTGATGGATAGATACAGAGATGAGTTGTGGGGGAAGTGGTGTGGGAGTAAGGGGGGGACCAGGAGGGTGTTGGGACAAGGGGCAGGGGAAGAGACAAGGGAGTAGGTGGAACCCACGGGTTCAGGTGGATACTGGTGAACAGGGGAGGGGCTATTGGCTATAGAGGAGGGATTAAGGTTAGGGGGTCCTCAGCAGATTCCAGAACCAGAAGGGCTTTGGTTCCATTAAAGTAGGCCTTTGCTCTGACAGAGGACCATGAAAAACTGGCCATATGGAACCTCATCCCTTTTAATTAGTCTTTGGCAAGATAAATCTAATTGGAGTATAGTAATTGAGGGAGTCCTTAACCTGCCAACTTTCTCTGTCCTCCAATTCATACTGGGGCCAGGCTGTTTTACAAAAAAGGTCATCTTCTTTTTAAAAGGGTGGTACCCAAATTATTTCCAGTTCTGAAGGATGTATCCCAACCGGGCACCCTCCCAGATGGAGGTCTAGTTGCCCATACCTTGGATTTGTGATCTCAGCTAGTTCCTAGTCAATGAGTGGTTGGAAGGATGGTCGGTAGGAACACAGATCTCACAACTTTCTGCCCAAATAAAGGTTATAAAACTTCTCAGCTAAATCCTGGCCCCTGAGGGCAAGTGGGTTGTATGATCGGCCTGGCTAGGACGTTCTGAGGAGAAATTCCTATGGAATATGGGACTGGACTGAGTTGAGGACTCCAAGGAAGTGGAAGATTTGGCAAAGGTCAGAGAGGGCAGGCAGGGGTGTGATCCCAGGATGGAAGGGTGACCGGCCAGAAGCAATCTGGGCTGATGAGGGAAATTAAGGCCCAAAGGAATTGAAAAATGTGGGAAGAGTGGCGATGGGAATTTAGTCAAGGTAGCCTCGACTTGAGAGGGTGTCTGAAAGCAGGAAGAGAGAGGGTAGACGTCTAAACACAGGCGGCTAAGACATTTCTTTGCGGTAAAAAGAAGGCCCAGGATTTCCTAGATTGTAAACTGACATGGCCCCAGAGACAAAACGCCTAACCTCACGTCCAGGATGAGGGCCAGAGTCTGAGATGTGAGGTCTGCGCGAGCGATAGAGGAGGTGGCTGAGAAGGGATTTACCTTACAGTCGACCAGAACGAACTGCAGGATAAGAGAATGTGAAGCAACCGAGTTGGACGAAAAGTAAGAAATGACGCATTATAAGAGGAACAAGGTACTCCTTAGACTGGGTATCTTACCCCAGAGTTGCCCGTTATCGTGGTTCCTCTCTCACCTTTTCTGGAGCCCCGCAGTGACCCCCTTACTCCGGATGGGGCCAGCGGTGACTTTACTCCGCGCGTCCCCTAACTACTTAGTTCAGGGGGTTTTCTCGATACCCACTCCCTCTTTTCCCCGTGCACAGCTGTTAGAGACAACCAGTTTTGTATTTTGTGTTTCTGACCCCTCTACTCCCATCTTCCCTTTCCCCCCTGCGCTCAGCAGCCGAGGATCTAAACCACTCCTGGGACAGACTGTGAACATTTACCGATGCAGTGGGCCGCCATCTTTGTTAGGGGTATTGTGACTTCCGGCCCGGCCGGAAGAGAACCCAAGCGGCTTGGGGGGAGGGGCTGGAATAGGGGTCGATGATAGGCCTGAGTTGGATTCTTCCCATCAGTTTCCCATCTCGCCCTCTGGCGGTTTCGGATGGCAGCCCGAGTTAGTGTGACTACGGTCATTCTCCAAGACGGGCACTGACCGTTTTCACGAAGGGACTGGGGTGGATTCCAAATGGGGGAGGAGGGGACGGAGGGCACCGTGCATCTGCTGTGCCTCGCGGCCTCCAGCGGAGTCCCGCTATTCTGCAGAAGCAGCCGCGGCGGCGCCCCCGCCCGCCAGCAGGTGGGGCCCTGGAGGTCTGGATCTCCGAAATTGGAGGGGGTTAGGAGCTTGGACTCTGGGTCTTCAAGGGAATAGGGGCTGGAGAGTTGAGTTCCAAGGGCTGAGGGTGCAATGGACCAATAATCCTCGTTCCCTGACTAGGAGGTGCCCTGGGGATCTAGAAAGAGGAGGGGACTGGGGGCCCCTGTCTAATGTCCTCAACTTTTCCCCAGCTCCCGTTCTCTGTCATCGGCTCCCTCAATGGAGTCCACATGTTTGGGCAGAATCTCGAGGTGCAGCTGAGCTCCGCGAGGACCGAGGACACCACCGTGGTGTGGAAAAGCTTCCATGACAGGTCTCCAAGTGGTGGCTTGCAGCAGGGCCAGGGCCCGGGCCCGGGTGATAGGCTCTGTCGAAGATTTCCTCTGGGCTTTCCAGCTCTCCAGGGCCAGCTGTTAATACTTGGCTGTGGGATCTCTGACAAGCCAATGACCCTCTCTGGTCCCTGAGAGTCTCTGTATGAGAAGCGGGCTGTGCTGGGGGAGGATGTAGCTGGCGGCCGGGATCCAGAACAAACTCGAACTCTTCTCAAGTCCCTGTTTCCCTGGCCTGGACTCATTCTTTCTCCTCGCCTTCCTTTCCCATAGCATCACCCTGATTGTCCTGTCATCTGAGGCGGGCACCTCGGAGCTGCGCCTAGAGAGACTACTCCAGATGGTGTTTGGGGCCATGGTGAGACTCCTCCCGTCTTTTTTGCAAACCAAGGAATCTGAACTCTCAGCATCCTTCTCCCTTAGACCCAGCAGTCTAGGGCCCCAAACCCAGGGATCCTGGCCCTCCCTCAGACTCAGGAGTCCAGTTCCCCAGCTCCCTCCTTCCTTGGTCTGAGTCCCAGCCCCTCCTTTCTTCTGAGATGTCCAGGACCCCTACATTCTTATATGCTTCTTCTAGGTTCTTCTTGTGGGACTTGAAGAACTGACCAACATCAGCAACATAGAGAGACTGAAGAAGGAGTTGAGGGTGAGGCTACTGATATTTGGGGACTACAGTTCCCAGCAGCCCACTGTGGGGGTTCTTGGGGCAGTTCAGTTGTCTGCCCCTGGGCCACTGTTCTGATGGGGAGGCAGAAGATCCAGGACCCACCTAGGTCCTAGGCGCCTCCCTTCTTCTCCCTCTGCCAGGCCAGTTACGGCCTCATCGACAGCCTCCTGGGGGACTCCGAGCTCATCGGGGACCTGACCCACTGTGTGGACTGTGTGGTTCCTCCAGAGGGGTCCCTCCTGCAGGTACTGGGGAAGCCTTGGGAACTCAAACCTGTCCTTATGGCCCTGTCTCAGTCCTCATCCTCTTACCCTGAGACCCTTGCCTCCACCTCTTCCCATCCTCTGGGCTCCCAGCCCAACCCCCACTTGGCCCCAGGAAGACCTCTTTACAGCCAGAGCAGACCCTGCCCCTCCTGGATCACAGCCCTCTCGTGGTTCCCACTGCCCCCAGGACGAGGTCCCTGCCCCTCACCCAGCTGTCACCTCAGGGGCCTCACAAATCTCAGCAACTTCCCAGCTTCCCTGCCTTAGCACATGCTGTTCCTTCTGTCTGGTGGATCCCTGTTTACCCTTTTTAAAACACTGCTCTTGTGGATTCACCAGGCACTGGCACCTCCCAGCAGGGTACTTGACCTCTTTGAGCCTCATTAGGTGGTTGACTCCACCTACTTGGCACACAGTAGGACTCAATAAACCACAGTTGCTGCTGTCGTGATTGTTAGCTTCAGTAGCACCTGCTGGCAGGGTGGCAGGCACCTTACCTGTTCAATCTGACTTCACGATGTGCCTTGGGGATAGTAACCGTATGTGAAGCTGAGGAAGCCCAGGCTCAGGGAGGGTGAGACACTTGAGCATGGCCTCTAGGCAAACTGAATTGTTTCCTGGTTCGTGTCACACTCCTTGCCCACCCGGGAAGTCGCTGCCCTCCCTGCTCCTGTCTCCTGACTCGCTGTCAGCCTCTCTCCCGTACCCAGGAAGCCCTCTCTGGGTTTGCAGAGGCTGCAGGCACCAACTTCGCCAGCCTTGTCGTGTCGGGCCGGGTGGTGGTAGCAACAGAGAGCTGGTGGCGGCTGGGGACGCCAGAGGCCGTTCTGCTCCCCTGGCTGGTGGGGTCCCTGCCGCCGCAGGCCGCTCGCGACTACCCCGTGTACCTGCCACATGGGAGTCCCACGGTGAGTGGGTGGGTGGGGCCGGCAGGGGTAAGGTGAAGGCACCTGGGCACGAAAGGGTGGGACCTAGAGGCCGAGTCGCAGGAGGCGGGGCTTGTGATGAAAGGGCCCGAACTCCTTCCTGCGCCCTGCTTCAGGTCCCGCACCGGCTTCTGACCCTGACGCTGCTGCCCAGCTTAGAGCTGTGTCTGGTCTGCGGGCCGCGCCCTCCCCTTAGCCAGCTGGATCCACAGGTGAATTCGGGCTGTGTCCCGCTTTCCCCCCATTACACTCTACCCACGCGCCCGCGCATTCGTCTGGTCACCCTGCCCCGCTGAGTGCTCTCTACTTTGCTCAAGCCCTTGGTCAGCCCGCCCCTTCTCAGATTGCACCCCAATCACCTTCACTCCAGCCAGGCCCCCTTTCACCCTTAGGCCATCCTTCCAGGCCTCGCCGGTAGCCACCCCTCTGCCTACCACCCTCCACCCCCTGGTGGGATCCTCTGGGTCTTCCATGGCCACACCTCCTTCCCTTGATGCTTCCCACCTCACCCACGCGCCCCCCCCTCACTGACCACGCCCCTTACAGCTTCTGGAGCGCTGGTGGCAGCCAATGCTGGATCCGCTGCGGGCCTGCCTGCCACTGGGACCCCGAGCCCTGCCCGCTGGCTTCCCCCTGCACACGGACATCCTCGGGTAGGGCTCAGACGGAGGAGTGGGTTGGGGTCCTCATCCCCTCTTCCCTGGCCATGACACCCACCCCCTTCCCTACAGGCTGCTGCTCCTCCATCTGGAGCTGAAGCGTTGTCTCTTCACCGTGGAGCCTTCAGGGGATAAAGGTGATGGAGAGCCGGCAGGAGGGTCCTGGGCCCCGGAGGGGCTATCCGTCACCATCTTCCTGTCCCTTCCAGATCCTTCTCCTGAGCATCGTCGGTGTGTCCTCCGTTCCTTCTATACCCTGGTCACCGCAGTGCACTTCCCACCAGGTCAGTGGGGGACAGTGCCCCTCTCTGCACACAGGTCAGGCTGTAGGAACTGGGCGAGCTCAGCAGACACTGGGCGTCCACACTGATGGAAAGGGAGGGGCAAGGAGGCCCCAGCCTGGAGAGGACAGTGTCCTGGGTGACCCTAATACCTATCATTGAGACTTCCCCTCTTGCCAAGCTCTTTGTATGTAGAGGCACTTCAGCCTCGCAGGTGAGGGTGATCTCCTGTTATGCCATTGTTCCCACATTACAGATGAGCAGACTGAGGCTCAGCTCAGAAGCAGCAGAGCCACCAGTCACCCACAGGTGTCCCCCACACCAAAATATCCCATTCTACTGCTTCCAGTACAGACTTTACCCCCAGTCGGGTGTGTCGGGGTGTGGGGGGCTGCTACCACAGAGCCCAGGTTAGTTGTTCTAGAACCCAAGAGGCTCCAGAGTGACAAAGGAAGGGACCTAGCGTGACCTCCGATGCCACTGAAGACCCTGATGAATGTAGCAAAACAGGAAAAAGCTGCACCTGGGAGGGGCGGAGGACAGTCCATTCTGTCGACGCCCCCCCTTCCCATATGTAAAGTAGGGTGGGGTCCTTGAGGGGCCCCCAGTCCTGGAGCCGAGTGCCTGGCGCCTGGTAAGTGTCACTCGCATGCTTGCCATTTGTGTCGCCGCATGGATTGCTTGGGGCTGCTCCCAGTGTCCCCAGGAACGGAGGAGACCGAGGCTGCGAGGGAAGAGGGGTAGCCGAGTGAGAAGCCGGGAGCCTTCAGGTCACTGACAACCAACCGGGTGGAGCCCTGGCCTCTCCTGAGTCAGGCCCTGCAGATTGGCATCCTAGTGGCCCCAGGCCCCACCGGTCCCCTCAACTTTTCCTGTCCTTCCTCCAGAGCCCGGGCATCAGGAGGATAAGGCGGAGGACGCAGCCCAGCAGCCCCAAGTGCCAAAAGCCTGCTACCTGGTGTCGGGGACTGAGGAGCCGGGCACAGGGTGGCGTCTGGTGGCCCTGCAGTCGGGGCCGCGGCAGCTGCTGCTGCTGCTGTCTGCTCAGAGTCCCATCCACGGGCTGCGGGGCCTGGCCACCCGCACTCTGCACGCGCTCACCCCACTCCTCTGACAGACAGGGGCCCAGGGCTGTTAGCGTCTCTCTGTTTATTTGATCACAATAATACACAGCCCCTGGACGGGGAGGGGGCAGGAGGGGCCACAACAGGGTGGGGCGGGAGGGGAGGGGGCGCCTTGCTTCCCTGGCCCCTCTCCCCTCTGTGCTTGGGGGGGAAAGGGAGGGAGGGGGCTCCCCCTTACCCCCCAGAATGTAAACAGCAGCAGATGAACAAAAATAAAAATACAAAAGGCCGGAGGAAGGTCCCAGGCATCCCCCTATCCCGGGGTCTTGCCTGTCACCAGCGGAAGTCCCCTCACTGCCCCATCCACCAAAGCTCCCTCAGTCCTGGGGGCTTCCCGGTGCCGGCCACATCCCCAGGGGCAGAGAGTCCAGGTCTCAGAACTGCTGGGCCAGCAGCTCGCACAGGTGACGGGAGACAGACTCCTTGCTGGTGCGCAGGGTCAGCCGGTACATCTGGGCAGGATGAGGGGAAGACACTCAGGGAGGAGGCGGAGGCATGGGGCAAGGCAAGGGAGGAAGGACAGGGAGACAGGAAGGGACAGGAAACAGAGACACAGAATGAGAGATAATAGGCCAAGAAAGGTCAAAAGGACATAGAGACAAAACCAAGGTGGGAAGGAAGGGGAAAGGAAGGTAACAGCCAGAGGACTGGGGGGTGGGGGTGACGCGGCGGGGTCAGGTGGGCCTCCCAGACCACCTCTCACCTGAGCCTGGGCATTGGGCTCCAGCCGGAGCAGACAGCCCACCTGCAGGGCCTTAGTCTGGATGATTCCAGCCCCCACGAAGTTCTCCGGGTTGGGATCCACATTGTCCAGGAGAGCAGAGCCAAACCCCAGGAGCTGGAGAGAAAGGCAGGGAGCCCTCAGAAGGGCCAGATCTGTTGCCTCCCAGAGTGGCACGCCAGCCCCTCAAACCCTCGGCAGTGGGAACTGACTGGGTTTTACACATGGGAAGTCCAAGGCTCAGAGGACTTGAGCAGCCACTGCCCCCCAGCTCCCTGAGTTGGAGAAAGGCAGTGCTGAGCCCTGGCTGGTGTGGCTCAGTGGGTTGGGAGCGGCCGGCAAACCCAAAGGTCACAGGTTCGATCCCCAGTCAGGGGACATGCCCGAGTTGGGGCCCAGGTCCCTGGTTGGGGGCAAGTGAGAGGCAACCAATCGATGTTTCTCTCACACATCAGTGTTCTCTCCCTCCCTTAAAAAATAAATAAAAATTGGGGAAAAAAAAAGGCAGGGCTGGGATATTAGCCTGGGAGTTCCTCTCCTGATTCTCTCTCACCTTGGCCTTAGTGACTTCAGCGTCCATAGGGTGGTTGGCTTTGAAGATTTTCTGCGCCTCCTGTTGGGGGCTGGGGCGGGTTTGCAGTCAGGGACCGGGCAGCTCTGGCCCCGCCCACCCTGAAGGGCAGCGGTGGCACCGCCCCCAACTACTCACAGGCTCAGCTGCTTCCAACGCTGGAAGAAGTCCTGGGCCGCCATCTCTGTTGGCTGGAAGAACTTGTTGATGGTCACCGGGAGCTTTAGGGTGAGGGACTGAGGGGCTCCCCCATACCTGGCGTTGGAGGAGAAAGGGCTCGGTCAGGCTACACCCCTCACCCAGGAGGCCCCGCCCAGCTGGCAGCCCCACTGACTCACCGGAAGCGCACGGACAGGAGTGGGGGCGTCAGGAAGTCCCGCAGACACTCGATGTTGAGCACCTGCTGCACCTGCGCGCCCCCGTCCACCTGCGCGGCCACACGCTTTGTCTGCACAGCCAGCTGTGCCCACTCGTGGTCAAGGAAACCAGAAAGAGATGGCTCCTGGCAATGAATCTGAGGGGGCAGGCCCTACCACCCTGGATTCCTCCTATGCTTTACCGGCCTTTCCCAACCGGCTCAGCGACCTCCGTCACTGCATGTCACCCCGTGCTGAGGCCAAGAGCCTTGCTGGGTTTGAATCCCAGCACTTACCACCTCAGCAACTATGGCCAAGTTATTTAACCTCTCTTAGCCTCATCTCCAAACGGACAGTACGTCCTGAGTGTTCAGTGACATGAGCCAGGAGGAGTACTTGTGTGCTTGGCATAAGCTAAGTGACAGCAAGTGGTAGCAACTGCTGTTTGCACCATCCACCCCATGTCAACCACCCACAGGTGAAGCCTGGGTCTTCTGTCCCTCTCACCCTGGCCCCACTCATGTCCAACACGGAGCTGAGAATCCAAGAGGCCTCTGGGAATGATGATGAATGAAGCAAAGAACAATAAAAAGTTCTAGGGTCCAACCCCTAAAATTTCACAGGGGTGGAAACAGGACCAGAAAGCAGAGAGAGGGAGCTGACACCGCTCACGCACTTCCTTCCTGACAGCCACCCTTCCAGAGTTTTCCAGCCACTCCGATTTTCAAAACAACCCCGTGAGAAGGACGGGAAGGGTCTACACAGAAGGGCTAGGAATCAGAGAGGCAAGGCGACAGACCAGGTCACACAGGAGGTCGCTCTGGTCAGCATCAAGACCCCCAGGCCAGGCCCTCGAGTTCAGGAGGCACTAGAAACAGGTATGGAGCTGACCAGAGGACAAAATCAGGCCAAGGTCAGGAAGGGGCCGGAGCAGCAGGGGTTCTACAAGTAACGCCTCCTGCATGTCTGTCATGTCGCTTCAGTCACCTCCTGCCCTGGGGGAGAAAGGACTACCCCTTCTGACAGAAGACACTAAACCTCAGAGAATTAACAAGTGCTCAGGCCCTCGGGTAAGGGGGCTGGACAGGAGTCCAGCGGAAGTGGGTCTCCACTGGAAGTGGGTCTCCATTGGAAGTCATATCTCCAACTTCTCTTGGGGAAAGCAGACCCTCCTCATGGGGAAGGGGTGGAGCCAGGGGGCTGGGCCAGGTAGGAGGATATGAGTCTGGAGGTCCCCAGGGTGGACGACGGTGGGCGTGAAGTTCTGGAACTGTACCGAGGTCTTGTTGCCGAAGAAGAGATACATGCGGCCTGCAGCAACAGGGAGAGGCAAACCCCCGTCAGCGTCCCTCCTCCACCCCCGCGCAAGGGCCCCCGAACCCCGCCCTCACAGCCCCCGGACACACCCAGGTTCTGCCGGAACTCCGACTTGACTCCGATCTGCAGCAGTTGGTTCTCAAACAGGACCCCGTTGTTCTTGCACACGAACCTGGCGGGGGACGGCAGGGGGCTCAGGGCGAGAGCAGTGCGGGCCTGGGCCCCGCTCCTTGACTCCCGCCTGTCCTCACTCCCCTCCCTTCCCGCTCCCAGACTCACTTGTTCAGCAGTTCATCGGCTTCAGGGATGGGCGGGCTGATGTCCTCGGGACCCGGGCTGCAGGCGGGGAAAGGAGTGAGATGGGAGGAGACTGGCGGGAGGGAGGTGCGAGAGGTAAAGGCCCGGAGCCCCACAGTCCACATACCCAGACTCCCCAGAGAACCACAGGGAACCCCAGAATCAGTCCGGGGATTGCCCCTAACGGGAACAGGACCCCAGCATGTGCGGCCATCCGCCCCCTGCGGCAGAGGACCCTGGCTTTCACTCCTTTCCAAGTCCTCGCCTCTACATTTGGCTCAACAGCAGCCCTCATGGGAGCTCCCAGTCCTCGAACCCTCCCTAGGGACACAAGAGTCTGCCCACCAACCCCCTGAGGCCACCCCTTACTCAGCAGCTGGAGCTGGGTCAGCCAGCAAAGCCATGGGGCTCTCAGGGGCAGGCGGCTCCAGCTCGCTGGGCCATCCAATCCCAGAGCAGACAGAGAAGACAGGCGTGGCAGGCAGCCAATCCCAGACAGGCAGCAAGAGGGCCGAAGAGAAAGACGGAGGAGGGAAGGAGAAAAGGAAGAGCAGGCTGAGACACGGTGGTGGGAGGACAACGAACTGTGGCCAGGGGCAGCTGAGAGTCCAGAGTGGCCAGAGAAGTAGGCCAGGAGAGGCGGCAGCCAGGTGGGCAGAGGCACAGGGACAGGGAGGGAGGAGCGAGGTGGGGACAGACAGAAGACCAGTAGCCCCGAGCCCGTGGCGGATGGTACCTGAGGAAGGCCTCCTCAGGAGTGGGACCCAGGCTGGGCTGGGTGGCCGGGCCATCGGAGGAGACGTCCACCAGGAGGTTGCCTGTACCCGAGGGAGCCTGGGGTGCCGCTGGGGGAGGGGCTGCCCGCAGCCCCAGGAGGTCGGCGGAGGGTGAGGGAGTCGACTGCAGGAAGTACAGGGTGTATGTAGGTAAGAAGAGGCGACACCCCAGGCGGACCCTCCGGATGGCCCAGTCCTGGGGGACTCACCACGGTGCTGGCGGTGGGCTCCACACCCCCATTGATGTCATTGCTGCTCGGGTCCCTCCGGCCGTCATCCAGGGCGCTGCCGGCTCCGGGGCCCTTCTTGCGTTTCAGCTTGGCCAGGATGGACGACTCGCGCTCGGGGAAGGGTGGCATCTCCTCCAGCACGGTGGCCTGCGGGGGGTGGGGGCAGGGGCGGGGGAGGTCAGGCGGGGGCGGTCAGGCACGGAGGGGAGGAGGGGCGCGGGAGGACCAGGACGCTGACCAGGACGTCGGTGCTGGCGACCGAGCTGAGGGTGAGGTACTCCACGGCGCGCTGCTGCAGCTCCACATCTGCGTTGCGCAGCTGGGAGCCAGCCCGCAGCACGCCCTGGATGGTGGCCTTGGTCTCCGGGAAGAGGTTGATGAACTTGATGTAGGTGGACAGCAGCAGGGCCCGTGTCGCCACGCTGCACAGGTGGAACTTGGAGTGCAGCAGCGAGAACTGCACTGGGGGGCTGTGGGGGGGCAGGGGTCAGCAGGCGCCGGCTCTGCCGCCTCCCCCAGAAGCCCCCGCTCAAAGTGCCGCCTCCCTCATAGGGACCCTTCCCAGGACCCCAGGCTGGCCCCCCAGCCCAGGGCAGGGGCCACCGCAACCCTCTGTCCCAGAGGCTCTTGAGAGTTGGGTTCTGCCTTCTCTCCCAAGGGAAGTCTGGGTGAGGGGCTGAGAAGCTTCCTGGGAACCCCATCATCATAGCTCTGAGACACCTGGGGTCCCCACACCCCAGGCCCTTCATATGTTCACCCCTCACCTGGAGCGTGGGTCCCCAGCAATCAGGTTCCCAAACTCCCCAAGGATGTAGCCTCCGACCTTCACCATGTTCTCGTGACAGGCTGGGGCCTGGAGCGCCTGGGAGTCAGGGAGGGGGGCAGGGACACTGTGAGTCATGGCGCCCCGGATCAGGAGCGCTCAGGTGTGCCAGGCGGCGTGCTAACCCTTGGGACTCCGTGACATGTGTGTGTTATAG